TGAACTTCTCTGAATTCAAAGTGTCATTCTTCATAGAAGCAATCCCGCAATCAAAAAAAGTAACAGAAAATCTGCAATAGGTCGCAATATTTTGAAGCTCGGCTTACCGTTTTTGTGTTGAAATTGCGGCTGCTTTCAGAGATACAGTAACTCAGCATCACGGACTCAAAAAGACGTCGGTCGGGTGTGAGTGTGGTTGGGCTACGGGTATAGGTAAAGACAAGACCAGACCCATAACCCACCCACACCCACACACCCACAATCAAGCACATTATAACATGAATACTTTTTTATAGTCATGCAAAAAAGTGGAAAGCTGTACCGTAACCATATTTGATTTTTATTACAAATTTAAACGAAAAAAATCAATTTGAGTACTTGTCATTGGGCGGACTTATTGCGTTAATTTCGTTAATGTGAATGTATCTATAATCCAATGAATAATGAATATATATCTATCCAATTCTTCAAAATATCAATAGAAAAAAAATGATATTATCTGTACTAGATCAGATCAAAATAAGGAAATCATAAATTAATATTACATACCATCTAATGGTACATTAAAGTTTGATTGATTCTATAAAACAAATTTAACTAATTGTATTCAACTGAAAATTTGAATTATGAATTTTATTTACCAATATTATTTTTGTCTTGTCTAAAAAATAATTTATATAAAAAATTTCTTTTTAAACAATTATCTTTATTATTGACATTAATATTTTTTGATGATTGATTATCTTCTTGTATTTTAGCAAAATTAACAAATACATCATCAAGTGTTACTTATGTAACTGTATAATCTTCAATTATATTTCTTAATTCTTCTCGTGCTTTTTCTAAAACACTAAACAATTCATATAATGGAACATTTATTGATACACGAAAATGTATCATTTTAGTATGTTCTTCTTTAACATTAACTTCTACTATTCGTTCTTTTATATAATTAATAATATTTTTCGTATCACAATTAATATCTGATCGAACAATAATACTATAACCATGACCAAATCTTTAAACAGAAACATACAGAATTTTTGAAGAACAAAAATGTTAGACAATAAATTAGATTTTACTTTGCTTTTAAATGTTGTACACTACTAAGACATTTGAATTCTCCAGTGACCATTATAACAAGACCTAAAAGAAAAAAATCAATATATATGTTGTAGGCAAAATTGAAATCCGGGCAAATTTTAAATTTGCCCAGTCAAAATTGAAATTTTAATTTTGACTAGGCAAAATTAGAATTCTAATTTTGACCAAGAATTTATCAGTCAGAACTAAAATTTCAATTTTGACTGGGCAGATTTTAAATTTGACTATAGGTTATATCATTTAAATAAAACAAAAATAATTACAACAAATAAAATAATTTTTTATTAATTCTTTTTAATAAAATGGCTAATAAAAAAATCTTTTCAACTATTCATCCATATTCTTGCAAGCACTTTGTTCTGAGTGACACTTTGCAAAACAGAAAAATTCGATTTTTCTACATTCACATTGCTTTGTAGTGCTTCATAGTCCCTAATGAAAGTATTGAGTTCAAGGTATCCCAAAAGGTACCCTGCTATCAGTATGTCACAAAAACTTTTAAGTATCCTGCAAGGAACTATATCAGTACCTCATCGTGATCGGGTACCTACTTACGTACTTCCCAGTTTCTATAGCATGCATGAAGAATTTTTCAATAATTTAGTCCACTGAACGCCTACAAGCATTCTGAAGTCTAGATAAAAGACCAGAAAAGCATCTTCACGTATTTCAGTCCTTTCATTAAGGATTATTAAGCACTACAAAGCCATATGAATGTAGAAAAATGGGAGTTTTTTGGTTTACAATGTGTCATTCAAAACGAGGTGCTCTTAAGAATATGGATGAATAGTTGAAAAGATTTTTTGTTAACCATTTTATGAAAAAAACATATTAAAAACTTATTCTATTTCTTGAAATTATTTTGGTTTTATTTAAATGATCTAACCTCTAGTCAAATTTAAAATCTGCCCAGTCAAAATTGAAATTTTAGTTCTGACTGATAAATTCTTGGTCAAAATTAGAATTCTAATTTTGCCTAGTCAAAATTAAAATTTCAATTTTGACTGGGCAAATTTTAAATTTGCCGGGATTTCAATTTTGCCTACAACATATACAAAATGAGAAGAATCAAGTTTTCATACGATTGCATAATGTTTCACATTCTTCCATTGAATGGGATGTTATTACAATTGATTTATGATCTTTACGAGTTAACGTTAATATACAATTCCATAAAAATCTTTTTGCACGTGCATCCATTCCAGTTGTTGGTTCCTAATAATGATTATTAATTATGTGTTTTTTTCTTTCATAGAAAAATGTTTTATTTTTAAACTTATATTCATAAATATAATTGATGGGTTACCTATAAGTGAAATAGCTGTTGATAATTTACGTTTATTACCACCAGAATATTGTTTTACTGGTCGATCAGCCCAAAGTGTAAGACCAAGTCGTTTTAATAAACATTCAGTAATCTAAAAATGGTCGTTCTCTCTATCCTTTCATTTCAATCTAAATGTATCAATACTATGAATTTACAATAGGTACAGGTGTATCTGTGAGAGATGATATAAGACTCATTTTACTTTCAATATAAACATGTTTCAACATACATATATGCTATTGAAATCTTCCTTTAATCGTGACTAAAATTCAATTATGGGTACTACAATAGTGCACATATCCCATATCTATATTGACTGTATGATTAATAATCTCATGATTTCTTTTTTTTGGGGGGGGGTAGGGTTTGCTTCTACCTAAATTCTTCACATTGAGCACTAGTCGATACTAAACGGTATTGGTATAGTGATATGCCTAATTACTTAATTTGGTTAATAAAATTGTTCTATGACTATATCAATGAAGTATGATGAAAATACACTTACAGATGAAATATTCTTTCTTTTAATTCCATGTAAACGAGCATAAAAATAAAGATGTTCACGTGCTGTTAATAAAGAATCAAGTGCATCGAATTGTGGACAATAACTAAAAAGAAAAAATATATATACAATCAAACAGGACTGAATAGCTTTTCTTTATTTTTATTTTTTTATGATACCCTAAATTTTGATGAACATCATCTAATTGTTTAATAACACTATAATTATTGACAAATGCATTTCCATTTGTCATTGAAATTTCTCCAGTTAACATTTTAAATGTTGTCGATTTTCCTGAACCATTTATACCTAATAAACCAAAACATTCACCTTGTTTAACACCAATACATATTTTTTTTAAGAGCTGTAATTTTTTTTCCAAATCTCCATCCATAAATCTATGAATAATAAAAGAAAAAAATCTTTTTTTTTGTGTTTATCTTTTATTATTTCTACTTTAAGTAAATCAATAATACGTAAAACATCACCATTTATATTATTATGATCTGCATAAATTCTTTGTCGTTCAGCAGCTACATTCTCATCTTCATTTGATGATATTAAATTTTTTGATGTTCGAACACAAATACTAAATATTAACAAAAATTTCGACTAAAATATTGTCATATAATGTTTTTTTCTTACCGATCAGAAATAAAAACTCGATATTGAACACATATTGCAAATATAAAGAAGACAAAACCTTCAATAGATAAGCACATTATATTTCGACCAACAATATCAAATTGAAGTGGTGATTTAGGAACATAACCCGGTACTACAAAATAAACAAATATTCATAATTGTAAAATCTCAAGAGACAAAAAAGAAGAACCAATCACTAACTATATCTAAGACTAATTATATTCGTTTGATAGGTTGTACTTAAATCGAATAAACCACGTCCGAAACAATAATGTGGAAATATTAAGAATAATTTTGTTAAAATATTATCAACTTTTGTTAAATCTGGTTCATCTTTCAAAGTTTGTGATATTACTGTTGATATTGTTGTCATTAAACCAATAAATATATTTAATGATGATACAACAACAAAACCAGTTGATGCAATTTGAAATAAATAATTTATTGATTACATTAATGGTATTAATGCAAAGCCCTATAAAAATAATAATAAGACAAAACAAACAAAGTTCGTTTGATTTACAAATGATTCAATATTAAAAGCAACAAATATAATAATGAAACATCCTATTGATACACAATAATTAATTAGATCCCAAAGAAAATTTGCAGACCAATAAGTTATACCTTCGAAAAAAAAAATGATTTTTTTTTTGTATTTAAATTTTAATTACCTTTAACACCACTAATAAATTGTAAATGTTTTGACATTGTTGAATGTTCATCAATAAGAAAAACAAGAAAACTTGCAGGAATAAATGCTAATGCAAATATAATACATATAACTGTTATCAATTCAACAGTAATAACATCTTCTACAGTATCATTATCAAGTTCAACTTGTATTTGTGGTAATGGATGATTGATAGCTGTTATAC